AGCCCAGGACCCCCCTGCAGCATCCACCCTGGGACTGCCTGCTCCCCCAGCCGTATCCCTGCCAGCCCCCATGCCAGCCCCCTGTGTGCCCCCAAGCCTCTGGGGTCCTCCCTAGGACCCCTCCACGAAGTCCTGGCTCAACTGGGCCCTGGCAGCTACCAGCACCCCAAGGTGCAGCTACCTGGGGGTCCCCCCACGGGGCAGGTGTCAGGCAGCCCCAGGGACAGTGGGGTCCCGCTGTGGGACAGGAGGGGATGCCAGTGGGGGTGCCAGCCCTGCCCACAGCCAGGCCTCTGGCTTTTACCAGCCATCTGCCAGAGTGCTGCCTGCACCCACTAGCACCCCAGCTCCCGGGGCTGACCCCGAGCTCCAGCCCCAGGGAAGGGTGCATGGGGCTGGGCCAGGGCAGCCACCAGCCCGTGGCCCTGTGCGTTGTGGGGCAGCGTGTGGGAGGCAGGATGTTGCCAAGGCAGGGAGCATTTTGGTATCTCGCAAGCCGAGCTGTGGCAGGGGCACCCCTTCAGGTCCGGCGGGTGGCTGGTGTGTGTGTGCAGGCCTCAGGATTTGGGTAGGACGTTACGGGGGAGATGTGGCTCCTGCATCCTGGATGGTCCTGCACCTGGGCAGGAGGTAGTGAAGACCACCTTGGCCTACAGCTGAGCAGCAGGGTGCTTTTCCCATCGCCTTCAAGGACCCACCTTCAAGGTGATGGGATATAGGGACTCGCTGACAGAGCCAGACCTCAGACCGCTGAGCCTGCTGCTCATCCCCACGTCCCCTCCTGCCTGTCCCACCTGCGGTCCAGGCCCAGGGAGGCCAGCTCAGCTCCACACCTCGGTCACCCGTGCAGCGGTGGGAACACAAGGCTGTCTGGGCTGCTCCCCACATTGATGGCCGAGGGGCTCCCTGCTCTGCCCGGCACACGCCGTGGCCCCCTGCGCCAGCCCTGCCTGCCTTTCCCCCGCGGGCAGCGGTGTGAGCGCAGGCAGCTGCCAGCGTGGCGATGCACCCGAGCGCACGCTGCCTGCCAGGTTACTCGGTCCAGCCTGGGCACACGTCGGCTGGCTGCGAGAGGTGGGACAAGGCAAGGAGTGTTTGAGGTCGGCCAATTTTCCCTGGTTTAGGCAGACTGGGAAGTCTTAGGTAACTTTTAAAAGGCACTCGCTGTTCATCCCTTGGCAGCCAGGCCAGCTCGCAAGGAGGTGCCCACGCTAATGGCAGGGACGCTGTGTCCACTGCTTGCCTGGCCCTGCACAAGCTAAAAGCATGACCCTCCCCCCAAACCCCGCTTTCCCTCATTTTACCGGGCTGGAAGCGTTACCAGGGCTATTGGGCTTATCAGCGGCAGAGCTGGGAATAAAACCGCCTGAGACCTTGGAGGCCGCGTCTCCCCCGGCGGCAGCTCCTGCACAGAAGCAATCCCGGTCTCTGCAGCTGCCCAGCGCTTTTCCTTCCAACGCTGAACAGCTGCTTCGGGAAACCACAAACACCATGAGCTCATAGGGACTGGCCTGACTGGCGGGGACGGGAGACCTACGTGTGACCGCTCAGCTCTGGTATGATAGTTATGTATTTTCAAGCTGTTTTTGGAAAACAGCCTTTCCAAAAAAAAATCCCAGCAGGGCAGAGGGCGAAGGGAATGGCATCCAAGCGAAGGGGCCAGCCCACCAGCCGGTGGTTCCTGCGGACGCTCGGGGTGGGAGCTGTGCAGGGGCAACTGCGGCGCCGGCCCCGGCACGCAGCCCGGCTGGGCACTCAGCCGGTGACAGCACATCGTGCGGCGCTGCCAACTGCGCCCACACCTCTGTATTAACAGCAACGTGCAATTTATACCATTTATGCAACTTCCATTTATCCAAATTAAAAGCATCCCCTAGGAGTCTGGCAGGTCACCAAGCCCTCGGCTGAGCAATGCCTGAGCTCCGACTCATCATATTTTTAATTTCATCATAAGATGAAATACTTAAGAGCAATTGTTTAAGCAGTCAAGAATTCCAGGCCTGCATCCAGGAGCCCCAGCAGCTGTCAGGGGAACGGAGGGACGAAGCCTCACAGTGCTTCCCACACCAGTTATTATCCCATTTTCTGACCCAAGCACAGCGAGGCAGCGGGCTGTTTTCTGGTTCATGCCGTGAGTCACCCCTCAAGCCTAACCCTACCTGTCCGTAGCTCAGCACTGTAAACAGCAGACCATAAAAGCGATCTGTGTCACAGATAGCATCCGTGAGCCATCCTGCCCCTGCTGCCCCCGCCACTCCCCGTACCCGCCGGCTCAACGCCTGCGCCTCTGCCTGCAAACCCAGCAGGGCTTGGGCTGCACAGACACCCTGCGACACCGCCGTCCCAGAGCCGCCGGCTGAGCCAGAGCTGCGGCAAGCCGGGAGGGACTGCCCGGGCGCTGGGGACATCCCACCCAGGGGTTCCCGTGTGCAGCGGCCGGATCCTGGGCCAGCAGAGTGGGCAGCTGCTGGCCAGCCCTCGCTCTGAGCCCTCCCGGGAGCAGAACGGCCCCTGGGCTGTGGAGCCGCAGTCCGGATGGGTGAAGCAACCTCCAATGCGATGCGAAGCTGCCATGGAAGTGCCCATCAGGACATAGCCCAAGGTGCCAAACAGAGGGGGGCTGTGCTGGTCTCTCTGGGGCCACATAAGAAAGTGAAGGTTTGTAGATGGGTGGCAGGTTATTTAAGTAACAGCAGCACCTAGAAGCTCATGTGTTTTGCAGACCTCACTCTCAGGAGCTGGACTAGGAGAGAAAGGCAGAGGGAAGGAGAAAACACTGTTTTCCCTGCACAAGGCTGGCACGGTGCCACCCGAGTCCCTGCCCCGTGCCTTGCTGCGGGCACCAGCGCTCAGGAGTCTGCCCGCATCCAGGGATCCCCAAGGCACTGCCCGAGTCCTGCCACCACATGCCGATGGCAGTTCTCCTGTTCCCACAAATGTCTGCTCTGAACGTCCCAGCTTCATTATTTGCTTAATCCCAGCCTTCATTATTTTTTTAATCCCAGTATTCACACAACGCACTTTGAACACAGGGCCGTGGCAGTGGTGGGAAACGCGGGATTTGCTGTGCAGTTTTTCCAGCCCCTCACGTGCCTGTGGACGCGCGAGGGCATTTGTGTGTGAAAGCCGGGGTTGTACGTGGGGTGGGAGCAAGCTCCCTCACCAGCTCTCACTCCGAAAATAGCCTTGTCTGCTTTACACATGCCTGCCTGGCGGCTCGGCTCCTGTAAAAGGAGAAGAGAAAAGCCGTTTGGAAATGGCAGGGAGCTCCTTGCCAGAGCCTTTAAAGAGCCCAGGCGGGGAGAGCTGCCGGCACGCTCCCGCAGGCTCTCCTCTCCCCTGGGCACTGCCACTGCACTAGGACCCGGAGCAGACACTGCTCCCAGAGCGCTCGCTGGGACATGCCAAGCGCTCGCTGCTGGCTTCCCAAATATAGCCCTGCACACAGAGGTGGAGCAGCTGCTCGGGGTGCGGGGATGGCCGTGCTCCCCCCCCCCGCCCTTTCGGATCTGAAACCTCCCCACTTTGTGCTGAGGCTTAAATATGCAGCTGGTGCTGCACGGAGCGATGGTGGGGATGTGTTGATCCCCAAAAGACCCCGTGTGCTGGATGAAGTGGAAATCACAAAGCGTTCCCCAGCTTGACATGCAGTGAGCAGGGGACAGGGAGCCACGCTGCCCCGGCCAGCCAGGCTGGCAGCTGGGGAGCTCCCAGGCATCTGTGAGCTGGGAGCTCTTTACTTAGTTTGGAAATAGCTCTGCAAATGACTGCTTTTCACAGCCTAAACTGTTTGGATTTTGCATTGCTTTCTCAATAACTCAGCTGTATTTTTTCCTGCCCCAGCAGTCTGTGGAATAGTTTCTGGTTGGGGAAATATTTTTTCCATTTGCTCCATCATGCAACTGCTTTTGCCGCTCCGTTTCCTGGTCCAGCTTCGCTCCCTTATCCTGCTGGGAGAAAAACTTGTGTCTGCCCTGAGGACCTCATCCTCTAAATCACACTGCAGGCTGGAGGCTGTGCTGAGCCCACCGCCGGCCTCGGTGCTGCCAGAGCCAGGGTGCTCCTCTGGCACGGGCCATGCCACTGCTGCCTCACGGCTTAAATTCTTTATCAAGAAAGCAGAGTTATTTTCTTCGGGTGCATTTATAGGTCTTTGCGATAATTATGCATTTTGAAGTTATATCTCTTTGGCTACAGTTCCAGCCCAGGCAGCAGGTGATGCTGTAACACTAAACTGGGCAGGAAGGGTTAACATTGCTTTTAATTAACTGATTCCCCCAGTCCCACCTGCTGTAAGAGTATATAGCCCTGGCAGCGTGCTTACCCAGCCAGGCTGCGACTGCGCATGCCCTGGTATCCTGGCAGGCAGGAGGGATGGTTTACACTCTCCTTTTCCCCATGCTTTGCTGCGGGAAAGCAGCAGGAGCACTGTAATGCTCTCAGCAAAACCACCATAGGAGCCCAGGGAGGGCTTGTAGCCATCGCAGGGGCATCACCGAGCTGCGTGCATGGTGCAGGAGCGAGCTGGCAGCTTCCCCATGCAGCAGGGACCAGAGCAAACCCTGGCACAGGACCTTGTGCTGAAATGCAAGCCTCTCCCATGAATTCATGTGTGCTCTGGCTGGGAAGCACCCAGCCAGAATTTGGGTGAAAAGCAACCAGCTCCCTGCATGCTTTCTTCCCAGCTTCTGCATCCGCCGCAGGGTGGTGGTACCGGTGGCGGGGGAGCGAAGAGCATTCCAGAAAAACAACCTCGTTTTTGCCCAAAATAGCTTGCAAAATGGTTGCTGGCCTAGCAGCGGGGAGCTAGCACAAGTGCCGGCGCGGAGGCCGCGTTGCAAACCGGCCGTGCTCCCCACCACCACGCCAGCCGGCCAGCAAACATTCCTGGTATCCCAATTCATCACCAACAGGTGTCCATGGCAGAACCTGTAATTATCTTGCATTTCCAGCCTGACCGCGGGGCGTTCGCCTGTAATTAGCTCTTGGGATTTAGGAGCTCATATGATCCGGGGTTATCGTTAGCCACTAGAGCCGTGCTGAGATTTAAAGGGACGATGCGGCTATTTGCATATCCACCGTGCTGCTGCCATCATCCGATGCGTTAAATAGAAAGATGAGTCCCTCCCCAAAGCCTGTGCATGTCCTCGCCCCGCCACAGATGCTTTTTTGGGCAGGGATGATGCGGTACCAAGCAAAGCAGGACAGCTTGCTTGTAAATATTTCCACCGGGACTTCTTGGTCCTTTCTGTCACCTCAGTTTTGGTGCCACCCTGGCTCGAGTCTCTCAGTAAATGCTATAGGCAGCCCCTATAGCTCTGTGCTGCCCACTGCTTTCCCTTGCAAGCTGTCATTCCCCATGTGCAAGCTCCCCCAGCCCTGCCACTGCCGTCCCCCCCACTCTGCTCCTCACCCCAGGGGTCCCAGGCGGGGGCTCCCAGTGTGCCCAGTGCTGGCTTGGGCACATACTCACGGGGTCTAGGGAAGCCAAGGCAGGGCAGCCCGCCAGCCCGCGTCCATCTGCACTTCTCTGCGGTCCTTGTGGTTTCGCCTCCTTCCCTCGCCTGCGACACTCCAGCGGGCAGAAATAGCCCAAAAACACGTGCCGCCTTCTGGGAAGCGATGCCAGGGGCTGAGCAGCCCCGGCACCCCGGGCACAGACCTCTCTCGGGGGCTCACGCTGGCACCGGCAGCACTAGAGGGTCCAGCCCAGCACGGTGCCGGGGCACAGTCCGGTAACAGCTCCGGCAAGGAACATCTCCGGTTATCCGCCAAGATAATAAATTCTGCCTTAGAGTTTCTCACCTGGCAACAGTCACCAAGGAAACCCAGACGGCTGCTGCGGGTCCCCGCTGGCACTGCCCAGGGGGTCCCCGCGGCACTGGCAGAGGGGCTCCAGCGGCACCCGGCAAAGGGCCAGCCACCCGCGCTGTAACCTGAGCCCAGGCCTGGCAAAACGCCCATCGATCCAGCCTTGGCCCTCACACTGCCTCTCCGGAGTCGGCTGTGGGTTTCACCAGATTTGGGATGGATTTTGAGGTTTTCCTGGCCGTTGAGCCTGGTGTGTGTGCATCGGGAGGGGTGACTGGAGCTGCTTCAGGGCCTCCAGAGGGTTTCCCGGTCTCCGGCACCCGTTTGGCTGGGAATTTTGGACACTTGTGTTAAAAGCAGCAGAGGCCCAAGTGCTCAGAGACCTCTGGAAATCCATTGGTGCCGGAGGGAGACCAGCTCTTGCGGTGCTGGCCGCATGGCACTTCCCTATTTATAGCACCCGTGGTTGTGCCTCCTCCTGTCTCCTGCCCAGCCATCCCCTGGCAGTGTCACCCCGAGGCACACAGACAGGTGCTGATGCCTCCAGCAAGTCATTTCGGCCCTGGTACAGCTAATTCTGCAAAAGGCTTCGCAGTCCTGTGCTGCCTGCAAACCTGGCACTGCCGCTGGTTCCAGCAGGCTGCTGGCACGGGCACAGGAGCGACTGGGAAATGCCATCAGGCTGGGGACAGGGCTCTGTCCCTGGGCCAGACTAAGGCAGCTGGGGTGCTGCCCCGCCATCAGAGGTGTGGGGGGGAACAGTTGCCCTAAATATTGTTGTATGTGGCCATGATATCGGTATGGAAACTTCCTCCATCAATCATTAACCACGCGTGGCTCCCTGCCCGTGTCGCGGCTCCGGCACAGCTCCCTTGCCCAGGAGTTTCCCAGTGGTGTGCAGGGCTGGAGCGAGGGGCTGTGTGTGCTTGCAGCCCAGGGACATCCCGGAGACGTGGGGTACCTGGCAGCATCTCGGCATCCTTGGCTCATGGCTGGGGCTCGGCTGGTCAAGGTAGTGCTGCTGGCACTGGTGGTTTAGCGTGGGCAAATGTGAGCCAGCAGGATCCCTGTTTGCTCCCCAGTGTGGCTTTTGGTGGGTCTCATGTCCTCGTCCCTCTGGACCCCACTCCCCCCACCCAAAGCTCCTGCGGCTCAGACATCCCCGCGAGGCCTCTTCTTCACACACAACAGTGGCAGCGTGCCAGGGAGGGCAGCCCCGGCTGGGGGAAGCAGCAGGAAACCTGAGGAGCAAGATAAGAGCTTCAGGGTTGCAGATCAAGGAGTTGGGGCTTTTTTGGCTCCGCTCCCTGCCCTGCTGTCCAAAGGCCCCCACCGTCTCCCTGCTCCTGGCCAGGCACCGGCTCGGGCTGGTTGGTATTTCTATTCTGAGCGGCACAGGACCTGCTGCTGCTCAGGGGGTGCCTCGTTAGGGCAAGAAATACCAGCAGTGAGCAGTGATGAACCCCAGCCTGGTGCAGAGGGGACCCCTGGGCAGGCAGCGGAGCCGTGCACACCGTGTAGGAGCTGCTCCTTGCAGGGGCTGGGGAGAAACATCCGCACAGGGTCCCTGGGCAGGCAGCGAGGAGCCAGGGTTGCCATTTGTTAGAGGAGACACTAATTCAGCTGGAAGCCCCATGTGGGCAGTCAGGCGATGTCCCCACCACGAGCCATTTAAGCCAGCAATGGAGGTGCAAGGCTGCCCAGCGCTGCACGGGTGCAGCCAGGATGGGTAATGCAGTGCCGCGCCGTGCCGCCTGGTGCAGCGGGCAGCCCCATGGCACTCCATGTCCCAGTGGCCACTGGCCTGGGTCGACCCACCAGGATTAAAGAGGCTGCGAAGAGTAAGTAATTTAAATCCAGATTAGATTTAAGCAGCTGCTACGCAAAGGGGATGTGAGCGGGGGCCACGCAGCGGGGAGGAGCGGTGAGAGCCTGACTGGTGCTCCTACGATGCAAGAAGGGGGTGCCAGGGCAGGGTCCGGCCAGGGGGTCCGTGCCCGTGGGGTATTGCCCAGGGGGCTGGCTTTTGTCCCCTGGCTTGGCTTGTGCACACCAGGCTGGAGGCAGCAGTGCTGGGCTGTGGGACGGCGCACCCCGGGGTGAGATGCTCCCCGCCATGGGGAGCAGGCATCGGCAGGAGGACGAAGCATGGAGACACGCTGGGCTGCTCGCTTCGTAGGTGCTGAAGAGAGGCCATCCCTCCTCACGGAGCTGCCAAGCATGTTCCACCTTTTCTCCCACTGCTGGTCGTGGCTGCAGGCCATACAGGAACCCATCAGGTAGGTCCCCATGCCCGCTCCTCGGGGCTCCCCGGGGGGCACAACATTTACCCATGTGTTTATTGCTGAGGGCACTGGTGAGGGAACACTGAGAGCGGTGCCCGTTGCAGGACTGTCCCCAAACCGCGGAGCAAGGCACACACACATCCCCGCTGGCCCTGCAGCAGGCAGGAGCAGGGCAGGCAGGGGTGCGCATGTGGGGAACGGTCCCAGCAGGATCCCTCCTGTGCAAAGTCAGCAGCTCTCCAAGAAAGCTGGGGAGGATGAACTGAAATATCTGCTGTGTTTGCATGTGTCAGGAGACCCAGGTTAATTCCCTGGGGACGGCACTGCACCAGCCCAGACAGACACTGCGGGCGGTGAGGGGGTTTATGGTCCTCTCCTGCCACCGAGGATACGTTGCCATAATGTCGGAGGTGGAGCCGCGTCGCCCACGCAGCTTGGTCTGTATGTTTAAGGAAAAAAACAACACTGCGAATGACTACTGTGGCTTGTCAACCACAGGGAAAATGTTCTGCGCGTGGCTCCAGTGGAGCACATCGCTGGAGACCAAATAGGACTGTTTAGCAATAGGAAAAACCTGTCCTCGCTACCTCTCCCTAGCTGTGTGTACTCATAACTCACGGACACGGAAGGACACCAAGAGCAATCATTAACTGTTTGCATGTAAGGAACAATCATTTTGGCCTGTGCATATCGTTGCTTAATCCGATATGATCTGAGAAGTCATTGCCATAGGAAGTGCATTGAAGGCTCCGCAGTGCAGCTGCTCCATGGTGCCAGGGTGACTCCAGGCATCTGTGCCTGCTCTTGCCCTCTCCTGGGCACCGGGGACCATCACTGCCCTCGCGCCCAGCTCAGCCAGAGCCTGTGTCACTGTCCTGCCCCTCTCCTGGCCAAAGCACAGCCACCATGCTCAGGGTCCCTTGCCTGGGAGCCCCGGGGCCAGCAGTGGTCACTGCTGCCCAGGGATCACAGCCTTTCTCTGGGGTGCTCACTCACTGTTGTTGCTCCCCAGAAAGGTGACCCTCCTCGTTGTGGGGCTGGACAATGCAGGGAAAACCTCCATCGTCATGGACATAGAGAGAGGTGAGGAGCAGCACGGCCCCAGAGCTGGCGTTGGCTGGAGGCAGCAGCTTTACCGTCCTTTGCAACCAAGTGCCTGAGCCTTGAAGGACCAAGACCCTTGAAATACAGCTGCTGGGCTGGGGGAAGCGTGCGGGGCTTGTGCTGTGTCCTGGGCAGCCCTGGGAGCGGGGATGTGGCCAGGGGAGGGGACACATGCCGCAGGGATGCTCCTGGGCTCGCTGCACCAGCCCTCTGCCCTCTCCCCGCATGCAGCGCTGGCCAGCGAGGTGCTGCCCGTGGCGCAGCCGGGCCAGACCCGCCTGCGGGTGGACAGGTTCGAGGTGACACTGGTGGACCTGCCTGGGGGCTCACGCTCCCGCAGCGCCTGGCGCAGCCACTACCGCGTGGCCCACGGGCTCCTCTTCGTCCTGGACTCCAGCGACCTGGCGCGGATGGAGGAGGCCCGCAAGGTCCTGAGCCGCGTCGTGAGCCATCCCGATGTCTCTGGGAAGCCCATCTTACTGTAAGGCTGAGTCCCTGGGATGCGACCCGTAGGGTTTGGGGTGGGGAGGGAGTGAGAACCTGTTGCTGGGGTTGTGGGGAGCGTGGCCGGGCTGCTGCAGGGATGTGGTGCCCAGGGGGCTGTCGGGGGGTGCTGAGGGACCCCAGCGGTCCTCGGGAGTGGAGAGCATCCCTGGAGAGGGGCTGGGGAGGGGGCTCCAGCGCCGGCTACGCCAAACGGCAGCCAAACCAGGAGAAAGCATCCAGCCCCCCTGCTCTCCCCTCGCCCCAGGCTGGCCAACAAGCAAGACGCGGCGACCGCCCTGCTGCCCTGCGAGCTGATCGAGCGGCTGGCCCTCGAGCGGCCGGGGACAGGCGAACCACCGCCCCCGCCCGC